AGAAAACCAAACACTGCATGTTCTAACTTGTAACTGGGAACTAGACTAAGGATCTGCAAAGGCATAGAGAAGGGTATAATAGACATTGGAGCCTCAAAATGGGGAGAGAGGGAAGGGATAGAGGGAGGAAAAATCACCTATCGGGTATAACATGCACAGGCAGGTATGGTGTCTGCACCTTTTAGAGCCCACACCTCTTCACCACTATGCAATGCAACCATGTAACCAAAAACTATTGGTACCCCATAAAGCTATTGAAATAAAAAATAATTTTTAAAAAGAAAGTTATTTTGATGTGGACAATGACCCTGGTTACCCAGAGCCCCATGAGTTCAGTACCAAAGATGTCAAAGTGGCCTATTTGCCCTCAAACACAACATCTCTGATTCAACCTCTATGTCAGGAGATCATAAGTACTTTTACGGCTCAATATACACAGTACTCTATGGAAAGAATTGTCAGCACTAATGGAAGAGAACATCTATAGTCTGGAAGGATTACAGTGTTGAAGGTGCTATTGCTGTTATAGAAAAAGTCATGATGAAAGTCACCAAGCCTGAAACAATAAATTCCTATTGGTGAAAACTGTGTCCAAATGTGCATGATTTCACAGGATTTACCACAGGACCAGTAAAGGAAATCATGGAAGACATTGTGATAAAGACCAAAAAAAGGGCCATTGCCAGACCATCACCGCCATTGCCTTGCTAGGCTGTGATATGCTGTGTGTTCTTTGATCTATGGCTGTCACCATGCTTCCTAGCTTTGGCCCCCACCCCTCCCTTGGGGAGGTGAATCCTCTCTTTCTCTCTCTCTCCTGTTTACTTTTAAATAAACTGTATTTTCTAATCTAAAACAAAAGACCAAAAAAATAGGGGAGAAGGGTTTCAAGATACAGATCCTGAAGAAATTTAAGAACTGATAGACATCACACCAGAGGAATTAACAGAAAATGATTTGAAGACGAGTGCTTCTGAACCAGTGCCAGATGACGACAAAGATGTGCCAGATAGCAAATGGATCTTAGTCAGAAGGGTTCCGATTATTCAAGACTGCTCTGACTTCTTTTATGACATGAATCCTTCTATGATACAGGCACTGAAACTAAAGCAGTGAAGAAGCATTGGTACCATATAGAAACATTTTTAGAGACATGAAAAAGCAAAAAGGCAGACAGAAATTATCGTGTATTTTTGTAAAGTTACTCTGAATGTGCCTGCCTCTCCTGCCTCCTCTTCTGTCTCCACTACCACTTCCATTCTGCCTCTCCTGAGACAGCAAGACCAACCCCTCTTGCTCCTTCTCAGTGTCAAGAAGACAAGGATAAAGACCTTTACAATGTTCCACTTATACTAAATGAATAGTAAACATATGTTGTCTTGCTGATGATTTTCTTAACATTTTTCTCTATCTTACTTTATTGTAAGACTACACTGTATAATACATAAAACATACAAAAATGTGTTAATTTTGTGTTTATGTTATTGGTAAGGCTTCATGTCAACAGTGGACTATTAGTAGTTCAGTTTTGGGGGAGTCAAAATTTATACACGGATTTTTGACTGAGTGAGAAACACTGTCTCAACGACCCTGTGCTGTTCAAGGATCAGTTGTATATTGTTTTTATACTTTTTAAAAGAGTTTGCAGTCAATGTTATTTTTTCAAAATATTACCATCTTCCATATCAAATGTAATTTGTGCAGTTATACAAGTGGTGCTTATTGTTGGTCTAAGTCCTTGGACTAAGTATTTCCATAGTATTCAATTCATGTACATTAATGCACAAATTAAAGGTTGAGAAAGGTTGGGCACAGATCTTATATTTTTGTAGTTAAGAAAAAGGATCAGAAGTCTAAAATTATCATATACAGAGAATGTCAGCATACTAACATATTTCCTGACAAGCACTTACAGTTTTGATTTCCACTACCTAGTACTCTCTTCCTCGAGATATGTTCAGTGTTTGTTCCCATATTTCATGCAGACATTTGTCAAATGTCTGCTCACCTGAAAGATCTTCCCTAACCATCTAAAATAGCACTTCCTCCTCTCTTCCCTACACTTGCCGCTTTTTCTTTATGGTACTAATAACCATCTAATATGTATGTACATATACTTGTATATTATCTATTCTATCTTTCCTTCTTGGGATACAAGCTCCACAAGAACAGAATCTTTGATTTGTTTGTTTTGATATCCCCAGCTCTGTAACAATGCTTCGTAAGTATGTTGCACTCAGTAAATGTTTTCAGGATGACATTGTTGTTGAACATAAGTATACAGGTCCTGGGATAGGAAAGAGCTAGGCACTTACAAGGAACAAAAGTGGGCAGAATGGCTATAAATCATCAATTGAAGGAGAAAGTAGTAGAAGAGGAGGTTGAAAAGATATAGACAGGAGTGAAATCTTGTAGGACGATGTTGTTGGCCCTGAGTGCAGATCAGAATCACCTGGAGAGCTTTAAAAAATTCTCTTGGACTCTGATGTGGTTGGTATGATCAGTTGATGTAGGATTTTGTAGTGGCAAGGAGTTTGGATTTTCTCCTAAGAATAACAGGAAGCCCTTTATGAGTTTTAAGCATGGAAGTTACATGTTTTATTTACATGTGACAAGGACCATTAGCTGCTATATGGAGTATAAGGGGGGGTGGACAGTAACATGGACAAAATGAGGTGAGGGAGATCAGTTAGGAAGCAAGGATGATGATAGCTTGAACAAGGCTGTTGGTAATGAAGGTGAGATAAATGAAGGACTTGAGATATATTTTGGAGTCAGAGCCAGCAGTACTTACTGATGGATTGCTGATTCTGATGATGGCATTTACTGGAATGGAGAAAATAGGGAGAAACTAGCTTGGAAGCATATTAAAGTAGAATCAGGAATTTTGTACATGTTGATTTTGAGAGTTCTGCTAATATAATTTATTGTATTCATATTTAGGAAGGTATGTCAGTGGGCAGTTGGAGTAAGTTTGGAGCTCAGAAAAGAGGTCAAAGTGAGAGATAGATATTTATGAGTCATTATACAAGCATACTCAAAACAGTTTTCAATTGAAATACATGGAAATTGCCTGAAAGGGTTTTTTTTTTTTCATTATTAAACTTGATAATTGTATGACTTAAAGAAAATTGGTTTATTTAAAAATATGTTTTCTTTTAAATGTTTTATACCTAATCCCAAATTGTGCCCCATATCTCTAAAATTAAAAAAATATATTACATGCTCATTGTAAAAATTTTGTAAAGTATGGAAAAACATAAGAACAAACCTATCTACATTTTCATCACAAGACACAAGACTTATGTGAAGCTTCCAATCTATAGTATGTAAAGTGTATATGTTATTTTTACCAATTTAAATCATGTTGTATATATTGTGTCCCTTTTTGTGAATTTTATTCTCACCTGTTATTTCACACAATTTTCAATGCCATTAAATATGCTTTGAGATATTTTAATGATTAAATAATTTCCAGTTTTTTGAATTTCTATAATTTAGCTGCTTCTCTACTGTTTTGTTTTTCCGTCATTATAGATCATGTATAAGGTTATAAATATATCCTTCCCCATTTTATCACACTGTTACCAACTCTAGGCATTATTCAAATTCTTTTTACCAGTTTTATGCAAAAATAACTTGAATTCTGTTTCTATGAGGTGAAAATTTTTTTGTTTATTGACATTTGTGTTTCTTTCATGAATTGCATGTTATTTCTTTATAATTGTAAATATAATTAATTTTTTAAAAATTTAGCACTTAAATAGGAATTGTTATCTGTGGAAAGAAACTTATTTTGATGTTGATAAATATTTGGGAAGCCATATACAGCTGGAGAATGACTTAAGTCATTCATGATTGGTCATGAGTCAAAAGGTAAAAACTAGGCAGGACTTCCTGAAGGTTCCTGGGTATCTTTCAGCAAATATAATCCACTCAGATATCAGCTTCCTCATTCTGTACTTACTGGACAAGAGCATTCTTATTTTATTCTGCTTTATCTAAAGAACATGTTGAAGACAAAATTTAGTCTTTTTTTCTGAATGATGTGAAAATTGAATGGTTATCCAGAAGCATTACATTGACATCTTGATTTTGAGCTTCATATTTTGCTACAGAAACTTCTGAGCCCTCCAGAAGCCAAGCTTCTCCCTGATTTACTTCAGCTTCCTAGGGACACTTTTCTCACTTGTCAGATCTGGGCTTTCTTATTAGGGCATCTGGAAGGAGATGGTGGAAGTCATGACTTGCTGTCTTTGACTCTACTGGAAATAGTTTTTCTCACCTATCCATCTCTAATTTTTTTTTGGAGTCTTACTCTATTGCCCAGGTTGGAGTGCAGTGGCACACGCTCAGCCACCCCAGCGTCAACCTGCTGAGCTAGTGATCCTTCCGCCTCAGCCTTCCAAATAGCTGGAACTACAGGCGCACGCTACCACACCTGGTTAATGTATGGTAGAGATGAGATCTCGCCAAGTTGCCTGGGTTGGTCTTGAACCTGCGGACTCAGGCAACCCACTCATCTCGGCCTCTCAAAGTGCTGAGATTACAGGCTGAGCCACCGAGCCCGGCCTTTAATTTTTTTTTAACTCTCTTCACGTGCTATACTCTTCTTAAAAACAACTCACATTTAACTGCAAACATTACCATGAATCCGTATTCCAACTCATTCCAGTAGCACTTGCGAAAAGAGGTTTTTTTGTTCTGTTTTGTTCTATTTTAAATATAATAAGACCTTGCTCCAGAGCACTCTTGGTAGGGCCCTAGCAAATTTGTTCCCTTTTGTCCCCAGGCTCTAGTCATCTAATGAGTGAGGTATTCCCTGGCATTATCTATAAATGTGGCTTTACCTTCCGTTGTGTCAGGTTATATTTACCTAATGTCAGCAAAAATTCACATTTAATTTATGAACATCCAGAAAGAATAAAAGTCCTAGCTCTAATCACTTTCATTATTTGGAGCTGTTAGCGTAATCACTAATCATTGTTTATGCTTCACAGGTTTGTTGTATCCTGTACAGCCTGGAAATCATGTCCAGAGACTGATGCGGAAAAGCTAGTTCGACTGGTCTTTTGTGCTTTCCATGATATGATACAGCTGATGAACACGGCTCATCTTTAGAGATTAATCATTTGTTAAGCACTTACCAAACATATCATTAAACTGGGTGCTGGGAGTGGTTTGGCGAGATGAGATGGGAGGGAATGTTGACTTGCTAACATTCCTTTAACAAGTTAAAGAAAAGTTGATAAATGTAGAAATTAGTAAAATCATGCTCTCTAAATTTATTATGCTATAGAAGGTAGAAAGCTTCCTCTGATGCAACAGCAATGCAAATTATGATATAGTGAATATAGAACTATGCAATGTTTAAGATAAGCCTCAACAATGCAAGTCTTACTCTAATTTTAAAATATTTTGTTGGTACTTATATGGTTTATAAATCCTCTCCCTGAACATCAAGATAGAGTCCATCTTTCAAGCACTTTAACATTTTCTAGCTGCCAAAGGGTATGAAATACATAATTGAACACTGTTTTCCCTGAAATCAATGCCTTTCATATTCACCCTAGGGATACAAGTCTATTATGTTTGATAGGAAAGACCACTACAATTCAATGGTGATCTGAAATAACTCTTGAACAGACAGAAGAATTAAGTTATAATAGGGAGATTTATACTTCTAACACACAAAAAAACCCTAACAAAATTAATTATGGTCTATTGTTGTAATTAGTTTTGTGAACACACAAAGCACTTATATTTAAAATTTTTATAATTAATGACTTTTAAAGGGTTATTGTTGAATCAGTCTCAGGATTTTTCATTTTTTTTCTCTTTGCTGTTCAATTTTGTAGTTTCTACTCTCAGAAAATAAAATTCCCAAGATTATGTAGCTTCTTGTTCTGTGTTTGAGTTAATGATTTGTTCCTGTTTGTTTTCCTTGTATTTTCTGATCTTAGTTACATATTGCTGTGTAATAAACCACCCAAAACTTAGTGTCTTACAACAATTTATAATTTCTCATGACTTTGTCAGTTGGGTGTTCCTGGTTAAACAGTTCTTCTGCTGGTCTTGTCTGAGTTTGTTTGTACAACTGTAATCATCGAGCTGCTAGGACTTAAGCTGGTAAGTCTAAGATGCCCTCACCCACTGTCTGGAGATATGGTGGTTTGGTCTTTCTCTCCCCACATGGTCTCTGATCAGTCAGTATTCAAGACTGAGCTTCCTTACTAAGTAGTGGGAGTGTTTTCAGAGATGAAGGTGGCAATCGCAAGGTCCCTTGAGACCTAGGCACTGAAATTGTGTATCACTTCCGCTGCATCCTGTTGCTTATAACAAATCACACGGGAAGACCAGATTCACAGGATGGGGGGAAAGTCTTATCTGTTGATAAGAGAAGCTAAGTCACTTCATAGAAGAGTGGACAAAGAGGGCATGGTTTACTGGGAGCTATTTTTACAGCATTACCACACACTTGAATATAAAGAGTACATTACACTCAGTATACTGGTTGTATACATTCCTTTTTAAAAATTTTTTCATATGTTCTGAATTTGGTAAGATTGATTTTTTTATATTGTCTTATCATTACAGTAACTAACACTTAAGCTCTTTACACTGTGCCAGGTCTTATCCTGAGAAGTACCGTTACTATTTCTTTGTGAAAACATTTAGAGTTGGCTTCTAGCATTTGATGCATCTTTCACTGTTGGTATAGAAAAGCAAGATCTGAACTGAGGACTTCCTCCCTCCCTAGTCCAGCTTTTGTAGATGGCTAGGGCATTTAGAATCATTTGGTTGGTTTTAAATACAGGTTGAGCATCCCAAATCAGAAACCTTTTGAGTGCCAACATAACGTTATACTCAAAAGGAAATGCTTATTGGAGCATTTCATATTTTTGATGCTCCTGGTCCCAAATACTTCAGATAAGGGATACTCAACCTCTACTGTCTAATGAGTTGGGTATATTGAAAACTATTACCTCCTGCAGATAAACATCTCACTCATGCTGTAGCACTTTCCCTAACTTGCCTGAAATGAAGAATCACCTGGAGTGCTTTTTAAAAACAGATTCCTCAACCCAGACCTACTGACTCAATTTTCAGGGGCCCCATGATCCTTAGCAGACAAGTATGGAAATTATTACACAAGAATGGGTTGAAAACTGCTCACTTTGGGTCACTGCAGTAATGTGCTCTTTGTCCCACCTGTCTTAGTTAATCTGAAGTTCAATCCATTTATACACATGATCACACTTGAAAAATTCTTTGGTAATGTCTGGTTTATTACAGGCTGAAGAACTTGATTTAGATAATTTACTGACTTAAAACAACCTGTTCTAGCAATAAGAACTGATACTGCTGCAGAAAATTACATGGACAATGAAGGAAGATTATGGAGGAAGAAATATTTCAGTGTGGTTAGCTTCCAAGTTTCTGTCTAAATGTATCTTTTCTTCTTGTAGAAAAAAATGGATTAATTTTCTGCAGAAAATAGCGTATTTGTAAATGAGGCAATGCAGTTACTGTAAAAACTCAGCTTTTTATCATTTATATGTCTGATACTTCAAATTATATTGAGAGAACTATGCATTTTATTTATTTTTTGAGTTGGCGTCTCACTCTGTCATCCAGGCTGGAGTGCATGGCACGCACACGCACAGCCACCCCAGTGTCAACTTGCTGGGCTCCAGCGATCCTTCAGCTTCAGTCTCCCAAGTAGCCGAAACTACAGCTGCGCGCTACCACACCCAGTTAGTTTATTTATTGTAGAAACAAGGTCTTGCCAAGTTTCCCGGGCTGGTCTCAAACCTGCAGTTTCAGGCAATCCACTCACCTCAACCTCCCAAAGTGCTGGGATTACAGGCTGAGCCACTGAGCCCAGCCTATACATTTTATATTAACATGTTTTAAACTTTTTATAAAGAAACACTTGCTTAATGATAGGGTCTTACTTTTTGGAACAAATATGTATTTGCAAAGTGGGTCTAAAGGCAATTTTCTTTTCTCTTGGACTTAGATGATAAACCTGGGAATTCATTCATTTAAAAAAACTTCAATTCTATAATGGAATAATATAGACACTTATACCAAGGGAGCGATTAGGCTATTTTTCCTTTGTACTTGGAGAACCTGTTCCCAAACCATCCTGTCATCTACCCACCTAGTCAGGATAAAAATAATTTTCCTTGTCTGTGACTTCTCTTCTACACCTGTACATATCCTGAACTTTGCTCTTCTTTCTCTGTATGTTTTTATTTTTATTTTTTTTTTATTCGGATTCTCACTCTGTCACCCAGGCTGGGATGCAGTGGCACACTCATGGCTACTGCAGCCTTGACCTCCTTGGCTCAGGTGATCCTTCCACCTCAGCCTTCCACAGGCATGCGCCACTGTGCCTAGCTACTTTTTTTGATTTATTGTAGAGATGAGGTCTCACCAAGTTGCCCAGGCTGGTCTCAAACCCGTGAGCTCAGGCAATCCTCTCATCTCGGCCTCCCAAAGTGCTGGGATTATAGGCATGAGCCACCATGCCTGGCATTCTCTGTTTTTAATAATTCAAGGAGAGCTGGGCTGCTGTTTGTATACTTTATCAAGACAGTTGCTACTTCTAACTCTCAAATTTCAAATGCTGCAATATCAAATACCAATTTGGATGTTCCAAATTTATCTGGAATAAGATACACCTATGTCTTATGATGACAAACTATAAACTTTTACAAGTCAGATAAAGTTGTAGAATGATTTTATTTATTTTTAAAATATACTGTAACAAGAGTTCATAAGTTCTGTGTCCCAGCCTGGACACCGACCATTGAAAAATAGATGCCTTTCTGCGCCAGCAGCTGTTGATGTGTGCCGTGCTCCTTGACTCTGCCATTCTGAAACACCACTATTAAGTCTGCGCTCTGGATGGTGGACAGGCGGTGAGCGATCACAATGCAGGTGCGGCCTTCTCTGGCTTTGTCCAGGGCTTGTTGGACTACCTATTGATAAACGAAACAGAAACTTTATGCTAAACATGTATAATTACGTTTCAGAATTAAAGGATATTTGAAAATAGTACCTCTCAAGTAAATCAACTTTTAATTTCCAATCTTTGCAATTTTGGCTTTATGCATGTGCATTTTGCATAAGTGACGTAATAATCTACATAAACATTCTGCTTTTAAATTAGACTGCAAATGGATTCCCATGCTGTAAAAAATCTTCACAAGGATTTTAATTTTCTGAGTAATCACTATATCATTTTATTTTGGTTCCCTATGAGTACAATAAGTCCCCTACATAAGAACCTTCAAGTTGCAAACTTTCAAAATGGTAAACATGCATTTGTTTGCATGTCCAATCACATCTATCTTGCCCTCTGTCTCCTGTTGCTGATGATCCTTCAGCTGTACTATCTCCCATCTCTCCCTCCTCCAGTCAGTAGCTCTTCTTGCCTGTTCACTCGATGCCAGCCCCTGTGTGCCAGTTGCTGAACTATACTGTACTACTGTACTTTTCAAGGTACTGTATGATTTAAAATGTTTTTTGTTTTTTATGTATTATTTGTGTGAAAATTATTATAAACCTATTACAATATGGTACTGTAGCTGATTATATTATCGATAGTTGTTATCTAGGCTAACTTTGTTGAACTTATAAACAAATTGGACTTACAAACACATTCTTGAAACAGAACTTGTTTGTACATAGGAGACTTACTGTATTTTCCAGTTTTTCATTACTAATCTGCTAAAAATGTGATGTATGCAGTTTTTTGTGAATATTTTACCTTTTTCTGTTTATAAAATATGTGATTTTAGAAAGTTTGAACTTAAATTCTGTTACCTCAAAATAACCACTAAATTTGTGTTTTTTCCTATGCTTACTTTTTTTTTTTTTTTTTTTTTTTGGTGCTTGACAGCAAAAAACCTTTCTATTTTATAAATTAAATAGAACATATGGTGAGAGGTCACACCTTTTCACTTTCTGTATCCAGAGCTGATGTAGCTTCATCCAGCAGTAGGATTTGAGGTTGTCTGATGAGTGCTCGGGCAATAGCAATCCTCTGTTTTTGACCTCCTGAGAGTTGAGTCCCCTTATCTCCCACTCTTGTTTCATATTTCTGCAAATACAAGCAATAAAGTTCTAACCTACAAAAGTTTCTAATGGCATACTGAATGAACTTGCAAGGAAAACATTTAGAATCAAAAGTTTCTCTAACAATATTTTTTCCACTTAACAGAATGCTCATTTTCTTTCTTTCTTTCTTTCTTTTTTTTTTTTTGAGTTGGAGTCTCACTCTTTGTCGCCAAGGCTGGAGTACAGTGGCACTGCTCACAGCCACCACACCTCGACCTGCTGGGCTCAGGTGATTCTTCCACCTCAGCCGTCTAAGTAGCTGGAACTACAGATGCATGTCATCATGCCCAGCTAAAAATGCTCATTTTCAAAATCAAGCTAGAAAACTAGTGACTTTAGTTCTCAATGGTATTTTTTTTTTTTTTTTTGAGTCGGAGTCTCATTCTGTCACCGTGGCTGGAGGGAGTACAGTGGTACACTCATGGCCTCTGCAGTCTTGACCTTCTGGGCTCAGGCAATCCTTCTGCCTCAGCTTTTCAAGTAGCTGAAACTACAGGCATGCACTATGCCTGGCTAATTTTTTTGGTTTATTGTAGAGATGAGGTCTCGCCAAGTTGCCCAGGCTGGTCTCGAACCCGTGGGTTCAGGCAATCCTCTCACCTCAGCCTCCCAAAGTGCTGGAATTCTATGCTGGCCTTTTAGTGGTATTCTACAATAGAAAGTTGAGCAACAAATTCTTGAATCCTACCATTATCATAACACCATTTGATCTGATGTTGCTGGAGTCCTATAAAGTTTGAATGCTAATACTTTCTTTTTTAAAGT